TTTTAGTTTTAATTTTAGCTTTAAGTTTAATTTTAGTTTTGATTTTTTGTTTAACACTAATTTTATCTTATTTTAAACTCCCGCGCTGCTCTTAGCATGTGAAGGGTAGCGCACATTCCACTACATATATACATACATATATATTTTACAAAGCTTGAAACAAGAAATCAGCAAAATTCGAGTCCGAAAATGAAATTGAAACTGAAACAAAAAATTCGTCAAAAAACTGCCGAAAAAGTGAAAGTTTTTAACCGCTCAAAATTTTCAGATGATGTTGCTAAGTAAGCGGCGCGCCGGCGCAGCGCTCGCACCGACTGCGTTCACGTCGACGCAGCAGCGATTAAACCAGCAAGCTACACACACTCAAACTTATGAATTGTATATACGTATGTAGCTGCCTAGCATGCTGTGCGCCGCGCTGTAGTGGCCGTCGATGCGCATGCGCCGTAACGCGTCACCGCTTAATGAAAGTAAAAACGAATGATTGTTGCTGTCGCTTAATTCCGCTTGTAGTGCTTGTAGTTTTAAGGTCTTTCACGAATTTTGACTTTATTTAGCAGTTTCTTTCTTCGCCGCTTTTTTGTGTGCTGTGTTTTATTAATTGTTGACGCTGTTGCCTTGCTGCGCCACTGCGACTGTGAAGCGCTGAAATAATGCGTACAAAGGGCTGCGTGACACGGAAAGCCGAAATCGTAAGCGCTTGAAGTGATATACAACAAATGATAGGCGCGCATATCGGTGGCGCTCATAGTGAGAGTGAGATACATACATATGTGTATATATAAAGGGTTGTGCAAAAAATCTAGGCTCGAATGAGTAATTATGCCGTCATTAAATGTAAAATTTTGCTAAATTATTTTTTGTTTGCTCATGTAAAGGCTTTGAAATTCAGGTATATTAAGTAGAAAGTTTGGTGTTTTGAGTTTACTTGTATTTCATGCGATTAAATAGTGGCAAATGTTAGTAAATTACGATTTCGATTACTGATTTGGCAAATTCGACGGTAAAGTGCATTTTATTTTAATTCAATATTACTAAAGGCATTGCTAAATAATAAATATACTCAATATTGAAATACTTTTGAAAAGTTGTATGCGATAATTTTCTGATTTTTTACTTTTCAATTTATTGCATGCGATACAATTTTATTATTCTGCTTTTATACTCCGAGGAAGATGTATTAAGTTTGTCACAAAGTTTCTTACACAAAGACTTTATATAATTGGTCAGGATGACAAACTGAGTAAATTTACCCATGCCGGCCTCTTCGTATACAGTATTCGTCCCTCAGGTTTTGAGATATCTATCTGCTGCTTTTTTGTTGGAACCACCGATATCGGAACACTATATCATATAGCTGGCATAGAAACTGATTGCTCGAAATGAAGTTCATGTATGGAAAAAAATTTATTTGACGAGCTAAAGTCCTCAAATTTTGTATAAATAATTCCCTAAGGCAACACTACAAATCTCCGAACGAAATGTTCGAATCGGTTCATTATAACATATAGCTGCCATATAAACTAACCGATTCAAATAAAGCTTTTGTATGGAAAAATTTTTTATTGGATACGATCTCATGACGATATTTGGTACAGTTCCTAAGAAAATTTTTTAGATCGGCCCATTAAACCATACGAGTACAGCTCCCATACAAACTAACCATTTAAAATCAGGTACTTATATTGCTTTTTGTTTCTGAATCGTGATATAGCTTTGATAAGTTAAAGTTTTTCTCGTTTCTTTTTTTTATTGCTATTCAGATTATGCTTTTTAAGTTATTATTTTTAACTGAATAAAATCATAAGCAATTTGTCTAATTTCCAACCTCACTACCTTTCTTGCTAAATTTAGTGACACCAAAAATATATTTTTGTTTGCAAAAAATCCCCGCTAAATATTTAAATATATGTGTGCATATGCATTTGCGGTCAGTGAGTATATATTTGAATATCAATACAAGTGTTTTATTTGCATACATGCATAGCAAGTGTTACGACTTTTCTATGTATCGGCATCGCAAACCCAAAGCATTAGTTTCCTGTTTTGCGCTTGAAGCAAACTAGCCGAAGGAATAACAAAAAATTAAGGAAAACGTGAAATAAATAGTAGCTAAGAACAATACCGCTCAGCTTGAGTTAAATTTAACGAAAAATCGCATGCAGCACGTGGCACTGTTGTGTTCGTGCACGCCACCATGTGCTCGCCTATGCAGCAATGTTCTAGTCGCTTATTCTCTGCGTTTTTTTTTTTTTTTTTTGTTTTTTAGCACGAGCTAGCATTAATCCAACTTTGTGCCACTGTCTTCTTATGCCACAGCTTATTCTTGTCCACGCTTCACCTTTGTGCAAACGACTTAGACTGGTCATGACATTCGACAAAGTTCAGTGTCATTTCCTAGTTTCTTGTTTTCAAAGTCTAGGTTATTGCATTGAACGCCAAAGGTGTTGGCGGCATTTAAAAGCGGTATAATCGATTTTGTTGCAGAAAAAATGCTATAATTCTAAGTGAAAAGTAGGCTGACAATATATCTCCTTAATTTTTTGACAAGCTTAGCGAGTTGGTTGTAGAAGTGACTAATCATAAATGCTAGTAATGAAATAATCACAGTCAAAATACTTCAAAAAATTAGAAGGAAACAAATGGGGGAGGAGGTAAATAACTGCAGCAAAAAAAAAAAAAAAATTATGTGGGGTTAGTGTCTTTTTGAGACTCACTTATTTTTATCTGAGTTGAGTATTCTTTGGTTCTTTTTCTACAAAAAAAAAAAGTAATACTCAGAAAAAGATTTACGAGATTCAGGGCTCTTTTGTCATTAGTTTATCAAAAACATAAACTTTCGAAAAGAATTTATGTGGGGTTAGTGTTCTTTAGCCGCTCGCTATCCAAAACATAAGTTAAACGATTCTTATGTCAGTTGAGTGTTCTTTTCCTACTCACTTACAAAACATATTACAAATTAATTTTAACTCTCAGAAATTTTTTTTTTTTTTTTTTTTTTTTTTTGTTTGTGTTTTGCCACTCGCTTATCAAAGAGACAAGCTTACAGAGTGGATTTTATGTGAGTTGCATGTTGCTTACTAAAAAATTAAGTTCTAGAAGTTTTTTTTATTTTGAAGGGAGTTTGAGTGATTTGTTGCCAGCCGTTTGCAAAAAAGAAATTAACGTTTGGAAAAGCTATTTTCGTTCAGTGTTCTTTTGCCGCTTGCTTATCGAGGAGATACATTTGTATAACGATTTTGTTATGAGTTGAGTATTCTTTTGCTAGTCGCTTACGACATAAACTCATAAACCCTTTGAGAACTATATCTTCATTGAGCTATAAGAAAGAAATATCCACCTTTAAAAACCTTTCGAAAACCATCTTTTACTTTTGGGCCCTGCAAAAATTTACCGAATGTGACAATAACTGTTACACTAATGAATATTTTTTAGGATATTTTTTCAACCTTAAAACAACTTATTTTTAGCCGCAAATTGGTTTATTGCCACGTGCAGTTCTTTACTAACTTCGAGTGGATATAAATATGAGACAAACATGAGCGTGAACAGTCGAGTGTGAGAAGTAATAAAACAGACGGCAAAATTATGTTCAAAAGGAATGTGATAAAATGAAAAATTTAAAAATACTAAGCGACGAAAATTCGATAACTAAAGTAAAATTTTTTATAAAATTTAACATTTCAATTTCGCAGACGATTTTTTCTGAAAGGAATAACCTGTAGTTGAACTTGTGGAACACTAGGATGCTTGGATGTTACTTCACACCGAATAGAAGGCAAAAAATTTTATAAGTAATAAATAGTTCAGTTGATTTCCCACACTACGAAGACTGTTTGCCTGGTTTGGAAGCTATAGCTTGCAGTTGAACTTGTGGAACACTCGAATTCAATGAAGACATTTCAGACCGAAAAGCAGCCACTAGTAATTACAAATTACTATTTAGCGAGATTTTTTGTTATTGATCGATTAAAATTATAAAAATCAAAACTTATAGCGACTCTTTGTTGTAATTACCATTGAGATATGAGGCATGTTGCTTCCATAGCTGTTGCACTTGAAATTGCGTCCAGCGGTTATTATCGTCGATATTATTATTATTCACATTTGTGTTATTATTGTTGTTGCCAACACCATTGGACACATTGCCGTTATTATGTGTCAAACTCGCGCCGTTGTTGCTGTTGTTATTGCTGTCATTTGCGTTGCCACCACTGCCATTGCTCTGAGCATTCTGTCCGCCGCCGCCCATAATGCCTACCAAGCCATTCAAGTTCAAATTGTTGTTCGGCGTCGCAGGATTATTATTATTATTGTTGTTGTTGTTGACAGCACTACCACCACCACCAGCAGCATTATTGATGGCAATCAAATTGGCGTTGTTGCCAACATTCGCCAGCACATTGCCATTAGCGATGCCGTTGCCATTGCTGATGTTGTTCATGTTGTTGATGTTGTTCGCCGCCACAGCGACCACGGCCGCCGCGGCATTATTCACATTCGCCACATTCGCTAAATGTTGCAAGCGATGATGCAACAGCTGACTGCTCGGCGGCAAACTGCCAACCAAATTGTTGCCCAGCGTATTGATCGTCTGTTGCAGCTGTGTGTTGGCAACATTTTGCATTGTATTGCGCAGATGCAAATGCACATTGCTGCTCAGGCTATTCACCACGTTCGCATGTACGCTGTTGCTCGTATTGCTATTGTTGTTGCTCGACGTGTTGTTGCCGTTGCCATTGCCATTGCTTGCAGGATTGGCGGCCACAGCAGCTATGCTGTTGACAAGATTACTTGTGCCCACCAAATTGCTGCCAAGGCTGCTGACAGCGGCGGTGGAGAGACCAATATTACTGTTGGTGCCACCAACAATACTGCTGCCAACACTGCCGCCGCCCGCGGCTAACAAATGTGGCAGATTGTGTACGACTTGTAGTGGCAATGAGCTGAGCGGCGGCAGCGCCGCTGTATGACTCGGCGGCTGCAGATTGCCAAGCAGTTGTTGTTGTTGTTGCTGCTGTTGTTGTTGCTGTTGCTGTGCATGTTGCACATTTTGTAGCAGCTGAAGGTGCGCCTGATGCTGCTGTTGTTGGTGTTGCTGCTGCTGTTGTTGTTGTTGTTGTTGCTGTTGCGCGCTCTGCAGCGCGCTGTGTGTTTGATGCGCATGCGCATTGCCAATTTGTAGCGCTTGCGTTAGATAATCCATGCTAAGAGTGCTTGTAAGTGCGCCAATTCATGCATTCATGTGCGAAGCGACGATCGCGAGAAACGTGTGTCGGAAGGCGCGTGCGCACGTGCTAAAGTTCTGCTAGCGGCAGTTGGTAATGCAGCGCACGCCTGCTGGTTGTTGTTACTTTATATTTGTTGTTGTTGTTTTAATTTTTATTTATTTGTAATTTTTTTTATTTTTATTATTATTAGTTTTTTTTCATGCACTTTTCTACTGTAGTTTGCATTCTTCGTTGTTGTTTTTCTTTTGCTTTTTGCTGTGTACCATGATATATGCTTGCGTTTGCTGCCGGCTTCACTTTATTGTTGTTCTTATTTATATTTATTTTTTCTTCTTATTTTTTTAGTTTTTTGTTTTATTTACTGTTTTTATTTTCATTTTATTATTCGTTTTTGCTTGATTAACTTTTTATTTTATTTACACATCACCCGGCCGTTTGCTTAGCTTGCGCTTGTCTGTCTGTCTTGCCGCTTCGTGCTTGCCAATTCTACTCTGCATAGCAATAACAACAAGCATATGCGCCACGCGAACACTTGTTCTGACTGGCTCCTAGCTATTGTTTGTTGTTGGCATGTCGTGCTGCTGAGTTTTAGCTGGTTTATTTTTTTTTTTTTTTTAATTTTTTTTTTTTAATTTTTTTATTTGTTTTTGTTCCTTTCCTTCGGCAATTGTACCTGAACTTGTGCTCTTGCTTCTATTGTTCGACTTTATTTGAGCAATTTAGCTTTTTTTGCGCAGACACAAGTGGTTTAGTTTTATTTTCAAATATTTGAATTAATTTGTTTCCTTTGCTTGTTGTTGTGTCCAAAAAAATTTATAACTAATTTAAATTTATTCAGTTTATTTTTAGAAAATTATTTATTTTATTATTATTATTTTTTTTTTTCATTTATGTTCGAGTTTTTTTTTCTTTGCCGCTTGCTCACTCACATTACGACCGCACATTTGTTCAGCTTTTTTCACTAAATTTATTTTGTTCTAAATGCACTTCTTCTGTATTATTTTTCCTTCTAATTTTTTTTTTTACTTTTTTTTGGAAAACTATCGTGCTTTAGCATACAAATGAGATCCTGCAACTTGTCATGACTAACTTAAATGTAGAAGAATTTGCTTTTATTTTATTTTAATTTAATTTTAATTGTTATTCCACCTTGCTTTCCCAACTACTGTCACACTCAACGGTATTTCATAGTTCGCCTGTTTCCGCCTTCAACTTGTTCTTGGCATTTGCTTGCTTTGCTTTGCTGCCTTGCTCTAGGGCAAGTCCTTCGCCGCGTACATCTCAATTAGCTGAGATCGCCTGGCGTTGAGAAAAAGTCTGACCTTGAAGGTGTTTTACTAACCGCGCACAGCATACATATGCACTTATTAGATTTTCTATTTTTTTTCAAGCAAATCGCTGTGGTGTCTGGCCGAGCGGTGCGGTGTTTAGTGATCGCGCGCCGTCTATTAGCTTCGGCTATCGACACAATTCGTTTCACTTAGCCACGCTCAATTTGTGTTTTCTTCTTTTTGTAGTTTTTTGTGCTTTTTTGAATTCTATTCTTTGTTTGTTTACTTTGCGTTGCTACCTCTTTGAAGCTAATCGGACTGTGTTGCATTCGTGACAAGGTTGTTTTTGTTGTGCTAATGTGGGTGCTGATTTTTGTGCTGGGTTCAAATGCCTGTTATCACTATATAATTTTCTAAAAACATACAAAGGTTTATGTTGATTTTTTTTGTCGATTTCGTCAATTGAATTAGTGTTGCGACTAAGCGGTTATTTTGTACTAAGGCATAGAGATCTTTAGGTTTTTACTTTAAGCCAACACACTTAACACATATGTACTTCTTCTCTATGTACAACTTCTCACGTCCACTTCACCTGCTATTTCTAATGTAGCACTTTAACCGACGCATATCTCGGGGATTAGCGTTAATAACCTTTTTTTTTACGAATCACTACAATTGAGTTGGCGCTTAATTTCCGCAATCGCTGCTCGGTCTCAACTGATAAGCGCACACTTAAGGATCATTGTTTAGATAAAGACTTTCACGAAATTATGAAATCAAAATCGTTGAAACACAAACTGTCATCGTTATCTACACAAAAAGTGGTTGGGAAAAACTGAAGTGAAGATGTTTTACAGCTAATTTCCCGCACTGTCACCAAACTCTCGGCCACTTACAGGCTACACACTAAGTATTAACGTATTACCGCGTTGCGGGCTCTGTGTTCGAGTTCGATATCGCGTACGCGTTCACGCTGTCGCTGCTGCCGTTCGATCTTCCGCAATATGGAGCTGGAACCGGTGCCGCCGGAATACGAATGAAGAGTGAGCGCACGTTTGCGCACTGCAAGCCCACCGAAATCGCGACGCGCAAAACAAAGCCAAACACAGTGCACAGGCGTCGACAAAGACAACGCGACGGCGTTGGTAAAGGTAATGGTAATACTGTTGCTATTGTTGTTGCTGGTTTGCTGATGGCTGGCTGGTTGTGCTGTTTGTTGGTGTTTTGGCGTTGAGCGTGCTACCGTTTGTTTGCTCACCAGCGCTTGCTTTCCAGCTTTTTTCACTTTCGTTGGCTTTGTTGCGGTGCTGCCTGTTGACTGTTTGGCTCTTTGGCTTTGCGCTTTCCTGGCTTTTCGCTCGCAAATCAGTCAGCCATGCAGACAGCAGCTAACATGGCTAGTTAGTCAAGCCATCAGCCAGCTTGTCTGCTTTGTATTTCTTCTTTACTCGCTCCACACTACAAAACACACTCGTGGCTCGCTTGAGTTTTAACGCCGCGCCGGAGTGCTGTAGCGTGATGCGCAACCAGTTTGAGCCAAGCGCTTGAGCTTTGAGGTAGTAGCCAGCTTGTAGCCAACGGTAAGACATCTGCGTCACATATTTCGTACTTCCACACGACGGACGCCTAGTAGCGCTCCCTTGTCATTTACGTATATTTTTTAGAGTGCGCTTGAGTGCGGTTGTGAGTGTGGTCCGCTAGTAAGCAAAGTTGTTGCAGCTGCTTTCTGCATTTCTTCCAACTCGATCCTGCACACAAATATATATACCCTGCTTCTTTATATGTGCGCTTATACTCGTTGCATCGTGAGTCGCTGCTCATGTGTTCGCTTGAGTACAGCGGCACGTATACGTGATATTTATTTTTGCGCGCTATTCGCCACGCTAAATTGTTGTTGTTGCTGTATTGCCGCGCGCTGCATGCGGAAGCGCATGGCTGGTGTTGATTTCTCACTTGTTCAGGTATTCATTTCGTGTGTTTGTATGTTTCCGCGCTGATGTTATTTTTTGTGTGCTTTTACATTTGAGTTTTTTACTTTTGTATTTGCTTTGCTGTTGCATTTCCTTTCGCATTTGCTTTTGATTTTCATTTTCACTTTGCTCTTTTCGGCGCCGTTTGCACACATTTTTGCTATTTTCATCGCCCCACTCTCACTCTCGATTACGCCGCACTCACTCATTCGTATGCGCTTAGTTCTCAAGTGAGTGAGTTTTCTGCTCTGCGTGAAGCTTTTCGAGCGTTTTTATTGAAAATGATCGTCGTATGTAATTAATGAGAATCGGCTTAACGGTATTTGTTAAGTTGCGCTATTAAAACTGCGCATATTTTAATTGCTACCTCGTTGAGGCACATGTCGCGGCGCTTTTTTCTTTTTTTTTATTGGCATACATTTGCGATAAGCAACATGCATGCTCTTTGTTGCTGACACAGATTTGTTTTCTACTTAACTTCTAACCTATCCCAATGGTAATTACAGCTATAAGTTGCATTTTATATAATTAATGGGTTTTAGATGCTATAATATCACCGATTATATTGGCGAAATATCTTAATTTTCATATGAAAAATATATAATAATTTCGTGGGATTATAAAAAAATGGTGCGATCCTAACACAAATCAAACGAGAACTAGCTCTAAATTTTCCATCTATTTGTGACCTAAAAGCCACTCTGTTTGAATTTAGAGGAAGGCTTATGCCTAGAAATTTAGTAAATCTGACGTAGTTGTATATTCGTGACGGTTACGGAAGCTAACATGCTTACAGATTGATCCTTTGAATTCGGTCGTTCGATCTCTTCCATAAAATGCTAAAGCATATAGTCCGAGCAAAGAACTAGAACTAAAGAAAGTATCCAATGTCTGCTTGCATTCTGCCCTTGGACCTTTTGATCTCCAATGAGCACAGCAAACGCTGGTTAACAGGCAGAACTTTATTGGTTGGAACATATCTCTGACCGAGAGTAAACCTAAGAGGTCATACGATCTACTGGATTTTAACAAAGTCAATTTCTCCACAATTGTAGGTGTTCTGACTGCACACTGTCCAAATGGCTTACACACGCTGCGTCTAAATATTAGCGCGGACGTGAGAAGTAAAGTACTCTCTCGAAGAACACAGACCAAATTCTAAAAGTTACTCATTATTACCGTCCTACTATATGATGTGTGGACGATGACAACATCTGATAAGTCGGCGTTACAAATTTTCGAAAGCTGCTGGGGAAGATTCATGAGCTGTACGAGATATACGACATTGACATATATCAGTAAACTAAAACGTGAAAAATATGTAAAATGTATATAACGCGTGAGTTAATATATAAATATAGGATGTCATTTTTAATTATTATTCTCTGCTCATCTTCAATATCAAATAGTAAAAATATTTTTATTATTTTTCGATACTGTAAATTTAAGTTACGCCAGTTGATTGTTCGATTCACCACTACTTGAAACATAGCGAATCGTAGCCTGCCAAGATTCAGTGTAAGATTTCTCACACCTAACAAAAAACAATGTAAATCAAAATTTCAGTACTAGCAAGTTAGGAAAAGAGAATAAAATAGTAAAGACAAACTAAGGTCTCCGAAATCAACCCTACTTCGGCTAGTTTTCCATAATTTTTTTTTTTTATAGTTGACAAAATAATTAGTTAAATATTTACCAGTTTCTCTTTATAAAGTGTTTGCAAGTTCAAATTCATATATTTTACGTGTAAATAATGGTGGGTGAGTTCTTCGTCAATCATGAAATTAGGTTTATTCTAACATTGGGGTATTTAGTTATCTCTCAGCTTACCTGTAATGAAAAAGATTTGAATAATTTGATTAGTAGTGGTTACTTTATTAAATACTGGATAGTAATGAAAATTTACATATAGTCATCTAAAATCCAAGCAACCTAATCGTAAATCATTAAAAAAATTCGGAATTGAGTGTCTTATTGATTACGCTTCACTACTTCAAATTACATACATAATATTACATGTGTTCAACATTTTCAGGTTCTGCGCTCAGGTATAAACCAGTTTTAACCAATATTATTTTTTTCACTCATGTTCCATTTCGTTTCGTGTTTCATTCTTGCTACTGTAAATTTCCAATAATGTTGTTACGTTATTTTGCATTTCAGGTGACGATATAATCACCTAAAATACAAAACAAAGTATCTTAAAAAAAAATTCGGAATTGAGTTTTTTATTGACGATTTTATTGTTTACGATTCAGTACAACCTATTGCACATACTTGCTTGTAGCCTACAATTTTCAGCTTCCGCTGTAGGATATAACCGTTATATAACCATTTTATAACCAAAACTCAATACGATTGATTTCTATTAAATCGCTTTTCCTTCGCAGGTGTTACGTTATTTAGCATTCTAGGTGACGATATTTCAAATACGAATATGTTGTGGTAAGCAAAAAAGTCGATTTTTAATTTAATTTCAAAGTATAAAGTTCTTCATAAAGTTAGTTGCTTCCTGGGAAGGTAGATATAAAAAAAAATTTACGAATGATAAAGATATAGATTTGGATCAAAATTGACAAACATATTATGCTTCTAAGCCTTTTCAGCTCCAAAAAAAATATTTTTTTCTGATTAAGAACTTAAAAAAAAGAGAGAAGATGACAATAATAAGATTAAAAGGCTGAAGAAGACAATCAAATCGGTTTAAGGTCTAAACTTTTCAAGGGAATCAAATAAAGTTGATCAATATTTTGAGATACAAGAAAAAATATTAACTATGGCTGCACCGAATTGCTAATACCCTACACAGGTGCTTTTATTTTTTATTGAAAGTGTAGAAATGATCGTTAACTTTATTTTGAACGGTCAGTTTGTATGACGGGTACTTGCTATAATTATCCGATTTCAATAATTTCATCACGGATTATAGCATTATCTTAGAAAATAATATGTACGACATTTTACGAAGATATCTTCTCAAATAAAAAACTCTTCCATATAAGGACTTGAATTTATCGATCAGTTTATACGGCGTGTAGGATATAGTCTACAATGATCGCTTAACGGTAGTTTCGCAACATAAGCAATTTCTTGGGAAAAAAGGACGCATGCGACATTCCAGATCGATTTAGCAAACACTGCGGCACTTCTTCTTTATTGGCGTAGACTCCGCTTACACGGTTATAACCGCAACTGACGGACTAGTTCACGTATATATAAATAAACGTACTTAAAGTCAGGATTTAGTTAAAAAAATATATTTTATGACTTAACAACAATGAAATAAAACCGCTACCAACAACAATAATGCTACATAAAATAACAGCCTCTAAAAAACTTCCAGCTCACACAATAAGGCAGCAAAAAACCAATCTCAAATAATAACATATATTAACCACAACTTTAACGCCGTTGCTAACTCGACTTGAAGATCACAAGCTATAGATCACAAATGAAATCGAAAGCATTACAGTAACAACAATGCCACAAACGAAAGTATATGACTTTGCAGACTGCCAAAAAGTAAACACGGTTACAAAAACCTGGCAACTGTGAATAAACAAAAGAAAAACACAAAAAGACGAGTACAATATGAGTTAAGCAGCCAAAAAAGCTGCAGAAAAATTCAACCGAAAGTTGTAAACCCAAAACGAAAAAAAAAAAACCTAAAAACAATGAAGCTGCGCAGTGACCGCAGCAAACCTGCCCTGATCCAAACCGCAGCGGCGCAGCGCAGCGCTCACGCCGTCCAGTTGTGCGCTTGCCAGCAGCACAAGCCAGCAAAACCAACCGAAATTCAGAAACAGCAACAACGCTTGTGCTGTAGGCGCTGCCGCAAATCACCAACCACTCAGACTCACCATCGTTCACTTCCTTATGGCAGATAAAACTCAAATAATACGAAAATGCATATATCTATATTTATTTTTGGCACTTTTGCTTTGACACCTTATTCGCAAGCGATGCTTTTACTTAAGCCTGCTATTTGGCGTCCCCTTTCTTTTTGGTATTGAAGTATTTTTTGCTGCAGACTGTAAAATTTTGAATTTCTCTCTTTACTAATTTTGGTTGTGGAGCAACAAGCCACAAAATATGCAATTTTCAAATATTTAAACATTTTGACTTATTCGCTTTTTAATTGATTTTTATAGTTTGGCTCTCTCCTTGTCACCTTCCCCCGGCTTTGTTGTTGTTAGTACGGCATGATCGCACGACTCGTTGGGTGTAAGTAGAGCTCTGAGTGGAGTCAGCTCAGAGTGCAGTCAGTCATGTCCTCTCACCTGAATTGGGCAGGTCTTGGCCGGTCAAAAGTGCCAAAAAGACAAAGCCTTAACCAGCAAGTAGTCAAAATAAAGAGTGTATGCATGGAGATAAGCAAGAAATTAAACGAAAGTTTCATAAATTTCAAAGATAACAAAAAGCATAAGCGACACGCGCGGGAAATCAAAAAACAATGTTAACATACAAATATTTATCGGTCTTTTCATACACACAAACTTGTTATATAAATGGTTTTTATTGGTTTTATAGCCAATTTGGTTACAAAGGAACCGGTTAGTGCCTGCAACCACGTTTACCAGATGAACTGCCATCTGAGCCATTCAAATGACCATAAGTGTCAAGCTGAGGCGAATTATTGTATTATCAGCAACAACAAACAGTCAAAGGTATGATGAAAGTGATCAGTAATCGATCAAACTAAAGAAGACAAAAAAGAAATGACGTGAAATATGGAAAATGTTGTTCATGTTATCACTGTACAACACTCAACTAGGTACTGAATCCGCCTTTTTTTTCGAGAGAATGAGCCATAAGCAGTACTTTCTTCTTTTGTTCGAAGTTATGCTCTAAAATCGAAATATTTCCTTTCGAAGTTTGAATTTGAGCTTATTGAAAAAAGTTATTACGATACCACCATCGGAACCACTCATATTGGACCACTATAGCATGTAGCTGTCCTACAAACTTAACAATCTAAATGAAGACATTGTATGGAAGGCTTTTTCATTTGATGAGGTATCTTCACGAAATTCGGCACGGATTATTATCTGAGGCGATCTCACAAGTTTTGAAAAAATTGTTTAGATGGGAACACTATAACATATAGCTGCCATAGAAACTGAACGATCCAACTCCAGACCATGTAAGAAGATCTACTTTATTTGAAAAAGAGATCTTCACGAATTTTTGCTTAGATTATTATTCAGGGCAATGCTTTTCCCGTGGAGCCAAGAAAAATCCCACTTGAATAGCTAAAGACGCTTTTCTGCTGCCCAGAACTACTAGCTATGAATCAAAGAGACCATCGCGAGCGAGCTGTTATCGAAGTAGATACATACCTGTCTAAAATAAGCTGCACTTTGGAGCAACACATTTGCTGATTAAAATACACTAGAGTGATCTAGCTGTCTGAAATAAGAGTTGATTGCGAGTTCCTGACAGACTGTTCCTTTGAGCGTAAACTCATCGATTAAAAAGCTCACTGTGAAAACGGATTCTGGAACGGACGACCTTTGCGACCCTCAATGTTTTAAGCTTCCCGGTGTCTGATAGCAACATAACAATTCGAATACGTAGTTAGAACGCCAACAAGAGACAATTTAGCTTTATATATTTACAGTATAATTTTCAATGTTGTATTTTGAAGAAATTTTGAGACATTGGCAACTCTGTTCTGTGAGTATGTGATTCATTTATGAACTATGCTCAACGGCAAAGCTCTGAATAACTTGAAAATCATAATGCATGGGGCTAATTTTCAAATATTTATTTTTATAAAATTTAATCTTATTGATTAACCGTTGTTACTCAATTCTATAAATAGCCAAAAGTATACACAGACACACCTATATAGACATGCATATAAAAGTTTAGTTGTAATTTTTCTAATAACCGCAAAATTGTCAACGGGACATCAGCGGCTATAACAACTTGCATTGGAACTGAATTTCAATTTGAAAAGTAACTAATCATATTGATGCATTTTAATACATCAGCCGAGAGAAGCCTAAACAGCAACAAATACCAAAATATGCCATAAAAAAAATCACAAACCAAATCTCTTTAGAATATACCAACATATGCCGGACCAAAAGGCATCGATAGCCTACAGTCCGCCGTTCTATGGCACAGCCTTTCTTCTGCGAGTGCTCATATGCCGTTCGTATCGCTTTTGAATTTTTTGCCGGCGTTGGTCATTTTGTTAGCTCAGGTGGCTGGCATTTGCTGGTCAATGCATTCGAAACCATTTAGATATTATATTTAAAACTTTCAATATATTGACATCACATCTATTAAGTTTTTTTTTTTTTAACTTTTCATTCGCTTTTTACACGCTGGCATATTGAAAGCCAAACAGTCTCGAACTGCACATTTGCAAGTCAAATTGAGTATGAAGAAGTAATGCATGTCGTATACCACTCATTTGTTATTCTGAGTGTCTAAGCATTAGTGGTTTATAATTGATATTTTTATTTGGCGTGAAAATGTTAATAAATTGCGAGCAATGTAATCCTAAGCGTAAGTATAGTCGACTCACTACCTTACTAAATTTCCATTTTTGATTTTTTATTTATGATTTTTGATTTTGTAAGTTTTTTATTTTCTATTATTTATAACCTGATTTTATATTTTTTTATAAATATT